CGGGGTTTGGAGGAGTTGAAAGGTGATTTGGGATTGGGGTGGTCACTTTACTTATTACTCTGTCCTTTTAGTAAATAAGCCTGACGATGGAGGGGGGACTCTTCGCTGCGACCCGGAATAATATAATCAGACCAAATTGTGTATTTGGCCATACGGAGTTCATTCCTGATTTCTGGGGCTCAACATCGAGCTGAACTCTGGGGACATATAAATAGAAGCAATAATAGATTTGTTTATTCCTTTACATACTTTATTGTACATACAGCTAGTAGAAGTACATGATTCTGTCTTGGTTTTACCTTGCTGTCACCCTCCCCTGTCACGGCTCTGTGCCGGCACAGGATCGAGAAGTGAGCGAACGCCGGTATGTCTTCGCTCACTTCCCGATCTACTGAGCCGACCTGTGACAGTCTCATTGTCACAGGTCGGCTAGAACTATGAGGTGAGTGAAAATCACTCACCTCATAGTTCTCCTTTTAAATATAATACAATTTATTGTACTTGCGGCTAGTAGAAGTACATGATTGTCTTGGTATTCCCTCGGCACTCAGACTGGGAGGAGCAGTGCCGGGAGCCAACCAGCTTTGCTGCATGCACATGTTCTGATGGAGGGCGGTTGATATTGTTGCTCCTTCATTGCCCAGTCAGCAGACTGCGGACACCCAACCAATGTCGTCAGTACTAAAGATTTTATAGGCAGATCACCCGACATTCGCCCTAAATTTGTTTTTTTGTGGTGAACCTTCACTTTGTTTTATACCAAATAAGCAGCAAATCACACAACATTTTCCCAGTGAAATATCATTCTGTTCTATAAGGTCTTTACTGTACTCGCTGCAAAATCCTCTTGCTCATCCATTGAGGCGCACACGTTCTTATGCTGTCGGGTTATATTGCCACCTACAGGACTGGACAACCCCCACATATCTGCCACCTTGACTGCCTTTAGGCGTTCCCTAAAGACTCATCTCGTCAGGGAAGCCGATCCCACCTCAACCTAACCACTCAACCATCACGTTCTCAGACAATTCATCCCCACACAGCTCCCTCCTCATCTCCTCATGTATCACTTCCCCCTCCTCTTTCAGATTGTAACCCCCCCCAGGAGCAGGGCCCTCCTCACCATCTTATCTTGGATTGTAATGTCTTCCTTATATTGTAAAGCGCTGCGCAAATTGTTGGCGCTATATAAATACTATGTAATAATAATAATACTCCCAGCATGCCTCATTTTCATACCATACAACATGTCCTCTACCCAGAGGATACAATGCATGCTGGCTTCCGGGCTGGAGGACATCCAGCATCCTCTCGCCCTTCTGGCTGTTCTGTGCGGCAGAGGTTTATGAATCATGAAAATGGTCAGACAGAATTGTAAATCCACACCAGGCAAGACAACCAATCGGCTATATAACGGGGCGCCATACTTCTTTCCTAAAGAATATGGACACCGGCACTTGTTCTGCCTGATGGAAGGGGGATCCTATGTGACCCCCGAAACGTCGCACTAAGTGTGCTATGCTACCTTTTTTTGCATGAACGTCCATAAATAGACGTATTCTACCTGCTGTTGGAGTGCCGGCGTCCATATTCTTTTGTATCGCTGTGACGGTGGCCATCTGTCGACTACTGAGCACCCATGTTATTTTGATGGATGACCGGTCAGGAGTGCAATGGGTACATGGACTATACTTCTTTCCCACCACTGAGTCTCTAGCACCGCGGTAGGCAACCTTTCCACACCAGCTGTGGTGACACTTCAAATCCCATCATGTCTCTGGGAGTCGCGGCTGTCAGCCAGTGGCGTCACAAGGGTGGTTCGGCCCGCACCCGGGTGACACCATTGGAGGGGTGACACCAAAATGACTGACAGTCATTTTGGATGACACTCTGTAACTGCTCCGGGTGTCACCCAGCCTCGGTACGACCCTGCTGTCAGGTCTTGCAATGTATCATGGGACTTGTAGTTTCACAGCTGGAGTGCTGAGGTTGCCCCCTCCTGCCCTAGCACGATCTGGGACTCTGGTAATGGCGGCTCTGAGCACTCTTACATGGGGCAGGGAAAATCCTGAACACTGGAGGAGGTTTAACTGGAACTTTCATGTCTTCGTCCTCCAGCCGTCCACGTGCTCACAGCCAACCGCCATTGGGCAGCCAGAGTGTCACGGTCGCTCTACCCGGCTCCATTCTTTCCATCTTGCGGTCAAATACAAAAAAAAATTAAATTCCAAGAAGGAAAAGGTTTTATTTTTACAAATCTATTCTGCCAAAAAGCTCCACTTTCCGGCAAAACGCTTTATTTCTGCTTTCAGAAAGTTGTACTTGCAGAGCGATTTTAGGGGAATCTGGCGGAGGATTTGAATGGCGCGGAGGAAAGCAAAGGGGCTGCCTTGGTGGTTAGTACTTCTGCCTTGAAGCACTGGGGGTCCCTGGTTCAGATCCCTGTCGAGACACTATCTGCATGGAGTTTGCATGTTCGGACTCTTAGTGCTTGGTGGGTTTCCCTTCCACGCCCCCAAGACATGCAGGAAGGTGAATTGGCTCTAAATTGAACCTGTATGTGTGTGCAATACGAGCCTTAGATTGTAAGCTCCTTGAGGGCAGGGACTGCTGTGAAGTGCTATATAAATACCTGTAACACAC